CCATCTGCAAATACCCTAATGATAAAACCGATAAAAAAACCAGTAGTAATATAAGAGATTGTAAAGATACAAGAATAAGAGAGCGTGAGAATACGAGTTTCTAGAGAATGAGATTATCTTATTTATAAGATTTTTATCTGATTATTTTAGGTAATAAATATATTATACTTATTATTAATTGGATGTATCATAATTTATTTATTTATTTATTATTAAATAGTTAAATTTATTTTGATGTATATATTGATATTGAATATATGTTAAATTAATATTATTAAATTATAGAATTTTTTTTTATTTGTTGTCACTATAACTCCAAATTCAGAATCTAAAGATATTTAATATGAACGAGTTTTATATAAGTTAATTATTAAGTTGTTTTCTTTTTATTGTCTATGTGATTAGATCAATTTCAATGACATGAAACATTTTTGGGTAAATATTTTTAGTGAGTTATATGTTATTTAAGCTATTATTAGTTTATAATTATGATGTGTGTTTGATCTAAAGTTATTGTTGACTTTTTTTTTTTTTATCTAGAATGATTGATGAGGCGTACTCATTTTATAGTTCTAATTGGGGTGTACTCGATTAGAGTTATTAATGAAGTTTACTCGATTTAAAGTTATGATCGTTATATGTTCAATTTAAAGTTATTAATAAGGTTTGTTTGATTTAGAATTGTAATCGAGGGGCGCTTGATCTAAAGATGTTACCAAGGTGTGCTCGGTTTAGAGTTATTATCGAGGTATACTTAATTAATTTAGAGTTATGATCGAAATATGCTAAATCTAAAGTCACTACTAGATATTCTTATATTTTATGAGAATATTTTTATAATTTTTTTATAAAAATTGCAAGAAATAAATTTAAATAATATTGTATAAGAAAATTTGTAGAAAATAGCTAACCTTTTAATAATGAGTTATGACTAGTAGGGATAATAAAACGGACAAGTCCGTCCTATTTTAACCAGTCCCGCCTTTATCCCGCCAAAAATAGACGATGCTGGCTGACCAGTTATAATCATGACTGGTCGTAGATCTTGACTCTGCCCGTCATAATTTAAAAAAAAAATTTATTTTTTTAATCAATAAATTTAATAATAAGATTATCATTTGTTTATCAATAATTCAACATATATATTTCAAATTAATAATATAAATCAACATACTATTTTAAGAAATTGTAATTTAGAACAATAATAAAATTTATATAATAATAAATAATAACAAATATATAAAAATAATATTAAAAGTTATAAAATTTATATTTTTTATATTGAAAAATTCAAATACCTATATCTTTTTTATTTGATAAAACTTCACATTGTTCTCCCCTTGAATAATTCTTACACCTTTAATTCAAGTAATAAAGACAAGAATAATCGAGTACTTAGGATGAACAAGGAGAAAATAATGAACAACAAGAGAAGAGGAGAGAGGAATTTATGTTTGAGTAAGGAAAATATTTCCTATAATGGGTAAGAGTGCGATATTTTTTAATTCTTTTTTTTTTACAATTTTTAACTTTATATTAACCGTATTACAATAAAAAAATATTTTTTATTAATAAGGCGAGCCACATGCTAGCCCAATGAGTTGGCGGGTTTGTCGGGACTGGCCAAAGCAGACTAACAGGCTGGAAAAATCAACTCGCTCCGTCATACTATAACGGACTGACCCATTTTACCATCCTAATGACTATGGTAAAGAATGTTGACCTACAATGTTGCATTGAAGGAGCTAAGCTAAAATGGAATAACATTGAGACAGTAAGATTAGAGGTTAAGAAAAGTAACAAAACTCTTCAAGCTGAGTTGGTCAAAGCAACTTAACAAGGATGGTTTCAAGAAGAAAGTGAGTCAAAGCTCACAAGTATAAGTCTTAATACAACTACATTATCTTTTGATAAAAACATGTAGGTATTGATTGTTCTATATTTATAATAAATTATGTAACTTTACTCTATCTTTTATTTATCAAAAAGTATCACTAGTCAATAAAATTCGAGAACTAAGCACAGATGAAAGAGTTGTTTAACTAAAGTTAACACATATAAATATGTATTTGACTTAATGCTGTAAAGTTGTTATTCATGACAAATTTACCTTTTTTTCTTATATAAATGATAAGTATATACATATTGAGATACCAATAATATTATGAGATGATGATTTTTAATTAACATGGTGGGACAATAATTATTATGACATTATTATTACTAAGATACTTGTTTTCTTAATAATGAGTTAAGACACCGGTTTGATAATTATAACATTTACAACACATTTGAGATGCTAGCTTTTTAGTGACATGTTAATTCACCAATTTCTCTTACATGTTGAGTCAATGATGTGAACATGACCTATGATAAGGGTTAGAGTAAGGGAAGCAAATGAAGCTCTTCAAGCAAGTATTGTTGGTTGACCAAATTGTGTTTTGAATTAATCAATTAATGGACTTTAGTTTGGTTTTATTGCAAGTTGTAATAAGGGCCCAATTGGAAATTTAGTTATCAGCTTTTGGGAGACCAAGAGGGTGCATAGCTATTGACTTTTGGATGCCACAATTTCAGTTACAATTAATCATTAAGTAGTTTTCAATTACTAGGTTAATAAATCATTATTAGTATTTATTTTCCTTTAATGAATATTTGTAACTCTGATGACAAAACTTCTTTATAAGCTGAACCATTTTTATCAGAAATAACAAGTTGAGTTTTATTTTTAGAAATATTAGAGTTTATCTCTTTTATCTTAGTGAGAGTGATTCTCCTAAATTCTTGAGTGATTCAAGAACCCTTGACTGTATCAAAAGACTTCCACATCCTTTGTGTGTTGCCTTCCTTGGAAAGAATGATTCTTTCTTTCCACCTTATCACTAAATTCCTAAATTTCCTACAAAGTTTTAACCTTAAAGATCCTAAATCATCCCTTGTGATTCATATCAGTCAAGTTCGAGAGAAATCCTTAGTTAGCAAGGAGAAACAACATCGTGTTTGAGAATGCTAATTTAAAATATTATACCTTTGAGACGAGATTAATAAGTGTTGGAGAATCGTAATGTGAGTAAATAAGGAACAACTTCTTAAAGTATTTTAAGATAACATCAAGAAGATGGTTAAACACGCATGAATTATTAGTGGTGACATAAATATCAAGACATTAGTAGATCTCTCTCTCTCTCTCTCTCTCTCTCTCTCTCTCTATATATATATATATATATATATATATATATATATATATATATATATATATATATATATAAGACTTAAAATACTTGAAGTGATTGAACTATAATCCTTCTCATTTGTTTTTCAATTTTGTGTATTCTTATCAATTTTGTATTAGTAAATTTTTCTAAGTTTTAGATTTTATTGACATGAACGAATGGAGACTTATTTTATGTTATTAATAGCTAATTTGGTTACCTATTCAACAATTTTCAAAAAATTATCATCCTTTCTAAATAAAAACAAATGAAATTTTCTTCTATAAAACACTTATTTCTTTAAAATGTGTTTTTGGCAAATAATGAAGAATTTACAACACATACCTTTGATTTGTAAATGTGCACTAATCCAAACTATTATTTTCAAAAAAAAATTAAATATTGATAGGATGATTAAAAAAAGTAAAACTCTTATTTATGGGACCTTGTAAATGGACATCAATCTTCTTGTCAATGATTGACCTTATTTAATTGAACAAATTTATATTGGTTGAATTGCACGTAACGTCGAGGAATGAGTCTCAAAATGATGAGGTATGAAAAAAAAAAAAAAAAAGATTCAAATGTAAAGATTATTTGACATGAAGTTAGCAATAATATAAGAGTATAAGAGTACACAAGCGAGGGAATCAGAGTGAGTAACTAGAGAATGAGAGATCCTATTAATAAGACTCTAATCTAATCATTATGGCCAACAAATAATTTTATTTTAAAAAAATAATATTATTAATTAATTAGATGTATCATGATTTTCTTATTTATTATTAAATAATCATATTTATTTTAATTCATATATTGATATTAAATATATACTAGTAGAAAAAAATTTAGGAATTCTATTTGATTTTTTTGTGATGTAAGTAAACAAATTGCTATACCATTATTCAAAGGATTCCTTTTTTACAACCTATTTTGGTATCATCACTACTAGGAGAAAGATAATGAACAAATAAGTATTGTGATATTATGGATTCAGGAAAGACACGAGAGAAAAATAAAGGTATGATACATAGTTAGAGTTAAAAAGTAAAGAGGAAAGATGTGATACATAAAAAAGAGTGAAAAAAATTATAAATAATTATTTTAAAAATTAATAATATAAAAATGTAGACAAACACTAGTCATTATCGTTTTTTATCAAATAAAATTAATTATTTTTATTATATTACTGATGAATATGAGATAAATAATATAAAAATTATGGATTTGAAAAAGAGGAAAGTAAAAAACAAAAGGTGTGAACCAAACCCACTTGTCATAATATGAAATTTTTTCAGAAAAATCATAATTACTTGTGAAGATCCTAGGGAAAATTAAAATCCCCTATTGCTCAACCCCAAATAATAATTAGACCCTTAACCACAATGTGATATTAGTTAAATGGCAGACAACATATTCTTTGCATATAGATGGATGCCACGCCAACTACTATTTGGTGTACATACCAACTCTTGTCATCATCACACAGGCTATTTTTATTTTTCTTTTTTTCTTATTCTTCAAGTGACATCCAAGTGAAGCAATATCTTACCAATGAAATACCTACACAAATGGTTTTGTTTGGCAGTACAAATCATAGACTTTTACAGATTAAACGTTTTACACAACCAAAAGCTTCAATTTTACATTACACAACCTTCCTCTTAATTTCCTGCTTCTATACATTAAATACTCAAATTCTGTGGCAGCTGGTGATTCATTCCACCCCTGAAGATTGTGCTTCAGGTGGCCAGTATAACTGGTGATTTGTAGAAGGTTCTGCAGAAGATGGTATCACTAGAAAGATCAAGAAAAAATGTTATGTTATGGAAGAAATCCATGGTGCATTTTTCTCTGTGTTTTGTGATGGGGTTCTTCACAGGTTTTGCTCCTACAAGTAAATCTATATTTCATAGTCATGTTGATTATTCTGATATGTCAGAATTTGCACCACAACCTATGGAAGTGTCACAGAAGACAACAAATGTCGATAGAAGTTGGACAGCTCCAGCACCAAGGGCTGTAGTCCACAAGCATGAAGAATCATGGCCCCAGTTGAAGCCTAGAAGACTTATAATCATTGTAACTCCAACAAGCACCAAACATCCCTTTCAAGCAGTGGTTTTTTTGACAAGGTTGGCAAACACTATCAAGCTGGTTCCTCAACCATTGTTGTGGATTGTTGTGGAAGACCAAACAGAATCTTCAGAACTTTCAAACAGGCTTAGGAGGACTGGCATCATGTATAGGCATTTGGTTTCCAAGGAAAACTTCACGGACTTGGAAGCTGAACTGAATCACCAGAGAAATCTTGCACTCAAGCACATTGTTCATCACAGGCTAAGTGGGATTGTACACTTTGCTGAGCTTTCCAACGTTTATGATCTCGAATTCTTCCAACAACTAAGATATATTCAGTATGGTTCTTTTCCTTATACATTATGCACAAGTTCTAGTTCTCTTTAATTATTATTATATGATGAAGATTATGGTTACTATAAACATTGATTAACTGGTATATCCTGAGGATCATTTCAAGAAAAAAGAGAAAAATATTGCTAATGTAATTGGTGTAATGGGGAAGCTTAAAACATAAACTTTCAAGTCATGAGGTATACCAATGACAAATGATAGCTATGCTAACAATCATGCACTATTTCACTCTTGCAATGTGATTTAACAGTCAGAACTAACATGAGAAACATGGCCTTCACTGATTTGGCAACTGAGCAGGGTATTTGGAACATGGCCAACAGCAGTGTTAGCAGCAAACAGGAACAAAGTGATAATAGAAGGACCAGTGTGCGATTCTTCACAAGTCATAGGTTGGCATTTAAGGAATATGAACAATGAAACTGATACAATTACTCCTCCAATTCATATTTCAAGTTTTGCATTTAATAGTTCCATCCTTTGGGACCCTGAGAGATGGGGTCGCACTTCCTCTCTTCAAGACACCTCTCAGGTACATATTATATAATTCATATCCTATCTCCAAAACATTGCTATGACTAAATGATCTTCATTCATACCTTAGTGCCATGATACTATATTTGGTGTGTGTGTGTCTCAAGGTTATAAAAAAAATTGCATCTGAATTAAGAACATGCAGATAATAACTAATGAACAATTTTTAAAGCTCATCTTACTGTGAGAAATTAAGAAACACGAACGTACATGCCAAAAGTTAGTTTTAAATAGTCCAAAACAAGATCGTTACTTCACTTCCTAAACCTTGAGTCATTACTTACGTTTACTTAACCTCTGGCCAACCTACAACTACTTTAAAAAGTACAAATGAAAAGTGGACAAAAGAAATAGTAACATATTAGGAAGTATAATAACATTTTGATTGATCATTTCAACTAATCACAATTCTAATTATCACAGTGTTCTCTGCTCTAGCAATATGTCACTGTCTTGCTGATAATGACAACATTCTGCTTATTTTATGCATAAGCCAGTGGCTGCTGTTGCTTACACACGTTTCAAAATATGAATGGATTCACTGTTTACACCAGCATAAACATAAATTTCATAACATTCATATGTAAAATTCTTACTATTGACGATGATTCTAATTTGGTTTTCTTAGAATTCAATAAAATTTGTAAAGCAAGTAGTTCTAGAGGATGAAGCAGAGTTGAAGGGAATTCCCCCAGAGGACTGTTCCAGAATTTTGCTTTGGCGTTTCAATTTTCATGCCTGTACCACTTCAAATCACAAATCTCTCACTACTACTACATCTCACGTTATCAGAAAATAAATGTGAAAGATTGTAAATAACAAATGGTTAAAGAAAAAAAAAAAAAAAAAAAGGCAGAAAGAAGCAATATGCAACTTTCCTACTGCAGGAATTTGTTCATTATTTGTTACTCTTGTACAAATTTACCCTGTATGCTTGTAATTTTATACTTTATTGCTATTTTCACCAGTTTTGTTTGTTCCAAAAAAGTTTCTTCTGTGGGAAGAAAACATTTTATCATGTATATATTTTTTAGTCCTGTTAAGAACTATTTTAGAGGAGCTAATTAAGTGTGTAAGTAACAATAGAAATGACTAAAAAAATTATTTCAATCTCTTATTTTAGCCTAACTTAGAGGATTTTAGTATTTATCAATAGTTTGTTGGTCTGATTAATATAGGACAATATTTTATTTGCAAGTTTTGAAGATAAAAAAAAAGAAAAAAAAAACTTATTTGAACAAATCTATTATATGTAAAAATAGGAGATAAATTATAACTTTTTCAGAAGATAATTTTATAATTAATAGGTATGAAGTAAATTTTCAGAAGATGATTTTATAGTTAATTAAAATTAGTTATTTTCATTTTTTGAAATTTTATTTAGAAGACTATATTTCAGCCTACTGAAGTACAAAACTTATTGAAGTATGAAAAATGATTTTTTTTTATTTTATTAAATTATTATTATTTTCAAACAACGTTTTTTTGTCTTGATTGTGATATTGTTGATTTTAAGTAAAGTTTCATTAATTTTGATACACTTTAATATTTAACAAAATTATTTTAGAAAAAAATGTTTTTACTCATTATAACTTTGATTAAATGTGATCAAAATTCTTATATTTTCAATTAATGTAGTACATGGTTATCATACTTTCATTTCAATAAATTTAATTGTAAATTTAAAAAAAATGAAATTTAGTCTTTTAAGTTAAAAAAAGGTTAAATTTATGTATTTTTTTAAAGATGAAAAAGGACTAAATTTATGATGAAATTTATCAATTTAAAAATATTAACAACTTTTTACTACTTGCTTCGATGAACCACTAACGAGCAATGGAATTAGAGATTATTTTTATGATTAATAATAAAAAATTATTTTATTTTTAAATAATAATATTAACTACTCCTATATATATATATATATATATATATATATATATATATATATATATATATATATATATATATATATATATGAACAATTTTATACACATATTTTAATTTGGCAATATTTTCAATTAAGATGATATGCATGAGGAAGGATATTTTACAATTAAAAAAAAACATTATGTTTATATTTTATTAAATATTTTTATGTCATTTCATGTTCTTTTTTTCTTTTCTACCAAATAACATATAAATCATCTCTTGTTATGTTTCCTTTTCTTTCCTCTCGGAAAAAATACCATTAATAATTATGTTATATTTTTAAAATGGAGAATTGATATCTATAAATACTAATATTAATATAAAACTTTTATAATTAATTCATAAAAACTATTTTCAATTAATTATTATTAAATTTATCATATGTAATTATATTAAATAAGAATTTTAAATAAATATTTGTACTTGAATATCATATACCATTTACATTTTATAGTTCTTCGACAACTGCAATTCAAAGTAATTTTGTCTATAAATTTAAATATTAAATATTGTCTGCATAACGCTTTCATGCAATTAAATAATGAAATAGATATGTATGAAAACAAATATTGCTGTTATGTACTTAAATGATGAATTAGACATAAAATTATTTGAAAACTTTGAAAAAAAGTTAAAATATATTTTCTGTAAATTAATTTATAAAAGTATATAAATTTTAATTTTTAATTTATATAAAAGAATTTTTAACTTATAAATATATTAGTTAAAAAAGAAAAAAAAAAACTTACATTTCTTGAAGGTGCCTACTTGTTCTTTTCATTCAAACCCCCAATTCAAATCAAATTCTTGGGGAACTCATACTTCAAACTTGCACTTTCAATTTTATTTTAATCATATTATTAATACAAAATATTTATTAATTGTATTGATAATTTTATTAATATTTAGCTCATCAAATTTAACAAATCTAATAAGATCTCTCGTTCACAAGATTTAAATTCAATATATTATTTAAAAAAATCAAATTCAAATTCAAGATTTTACTTGAAGAACCGATTCTACTTTGAGAATATGGCACAAAATCATTTGAGAATTGATTTGATTAAGATAGGGTTGTAGTCTTATTCATCTTCTTATTTTAGTGGTTTAAATGTTATAATCGGTGTAATAGTCGTATTAATTACTAGAAAAGTCTAAATTTTATGAATATATGGATTGTGATTAATGCTTCATAATTTTAGTTGTTGGCCTAAAAAAACAAACAAATTTTCATTTCGTTCTCTCGATCGCCTTTTGATTTGGCACCTATTTGTCGTATGTGAAGAATTTATAGTATTTTCAAAAACTTAGTTTTTTTATTATTATTGGCTTGTTAACAACCAATAATTGACCTAAGTAAAACTAACACTTCTTACCTCATTGTCTTTTATGAAACATTTGCATTGTGGGTTTGCTCCAAATCTTCTTCATTTTGTTTCTTCAACATGCTTGTCATAATGTTTCTGGTGGAATTTCGATCGATTTCGATTCTAAGGGTGTTTTGGTCCTAATCAAAATCCTACCACGTAAGCTCTTTTTACTTAGGCTAGCAATTTGGTTTTCAATCGAAAACGTGTATGAAAATCGAAAACTCCAAGATATCGAAAATGCTGTTTTTGGTATTTTGTATTTAAAGTATCGAAAAAATTTAGACTATCGAATAGAAAAGCAGAATATTAAATTGCGAGGAAATGTAAAATGCGAGAACCACAAACTTGCATTAATCGTAAATAGCGAGGAATCGAAAACAACACAAATATAAATGACAAGAAATCGAGATTGCAAGAAAAGTAAATGACAGGAAATTGAGATTTGCAGAATGTTAAATAACAGAAAATCTAAATGCAGAAACTCAAATTTTCATTGAATTGAAATGGACAAGGAATCGAAATACAGAAACATAAAACTGCTGAATTTAAGTTGCATCAAAGTAAATTACCAAGGAAAATACATAAAGCGGTAAATGTACTCGGTGAGCAAGGAAATCCAGATTGCCAGAAGCTTCATGGTGTTCGTCGTTTCTCCGGTAGACTTTTCACTAGCGTTTCTGTTGTCTCTGCCAATTTCTGCTCCTCTTGTTCCTTCCTTCTTTGCTCTATTTATAGGGCATCCTTCAAGCCTTCTAAGAGCAGTTAATATGACTGCTACCACGTTCTACGTGCGTATGACAGTTTATCTTCTAGTTTCCCACGTTCTCACGATCTCCGACTTTTACCCATGATTTCAAAACTGCTCTCTATACGTGCATTCGACTTACTTCCCTTCACGATTTGGCCAAAATCTCGATGTCCCCATTGGCTTTCTTTACTCTCGATTCTATATTTTTCGAGAACTTCGAATTGCTCACGATTCCTTTTTAATCCTGATCTTATATGACTTAGTTTTTATTCGACAACAGTCATTTGATTACAATTCATTCGATTCTCGATTGTGTTTCTCGATGCTATATGCTACGTATTTCTAATTAGACATCGAATGAACTTTTGTTTATCTTATCGAGTCATATTTCTTCCCTTCGATTTCGATCGCTTTTCTCGATTTGCCACTAACAAAATGCCCCCTTGGAAGAATATAAATGATTTCTGTTTTATATTCTTTCAATATTCCCGCCTTAGTGTTTGAAAGCCCACAGGATTTAGGGTTTAGGGTTTTTGGGGTTCTAGGGTAAAAAAGGGTTTTAGGTTTCTTTTCCACTTTACGTCACCATCATATCAGTCTGCTGCTTTCACAGTACGCTGCATTTATTACCTTTCACCTCCGTCGTTCTATCTCCCTATACGATTTCCCCTTAACCTCTCAACCTATCTTCACTTTGGCTTTACGCGAACCTTTATCTTCTTTTGCATTCTTGTCTTCTTCTCTGAGCTCCTGTTTTCGTCCCTGTTACCTTACCTGTCAACCTCTTCCTTATTACTTCTCTAATCTTGCTATAATGGCCTCTTCATCTAAGTCATCTGATTTCTCGGCTCCACCTCTTACCTCATCCACTGCTACCTTGCTGGAGATTAACAACCAGCAGCTTGCTCCTTTGCCTCCGATGGAGGAGGCCTCCAAAAGATCGCCGAAACTCGTGTATTAGTTCCTTACACTCGTTGGTGGGGTTGGTTTTGGTTTTGGGGGCCCCATTCTTTCGGGAGTGGAACCGTTTCTCCCCTCACCCTCTCAAGCAGCCCTTGCTCTCGTTCATCAACCCGAAGTTAGGATCGATTTTTTGAACTTTGTTTCCAAGGTGTATAGGACGAGCCCTCCCTCCAAAAAATCTTTGTTCACTAGATGGTTTGATAGGGTTAAGGCTAAATTCGGGAACCATTGGAGGAACGTGGGGATTTTTGATTTTCTACATTTGTCTCAATGTGACTTATCTTACCTAGACATGGCTATGTTTCGGCTGCCGTGCACTTATGGAATAAAGAGATACATGCGTTGGAATTACCTTGCGGCCCCTCTCACCTACTCTTCTCGATGTCGCAGCCATCACCGGGTTAAAACCTATAGGGGAAAGATACTTTTAGGGTGCATGTCCCTCGGATAATTCGTTGAAGTCTAGAATCGATTGGGAATCGAAGGCCTACGGGCATTTTGTTGAGAAACACTTCGTTGATGACCCCTCAATAGATGTTACCGATGAAGAACATATAGCGTTTTTGGTGTACCTGGTCGTGCACCCATGTGTTTTGCCCCCGATCGATCCAAATTTCCCCCATCTCTTCAACCTTGCGTATCTCCTTCACTTAGGTCAACCTCGTCTATGTTTGGCCAAGCTTTTGTTAGCACATGTATATACCGCTTTCGACGAGGCTGTAGAAATCTTAAGTACTCCTAAGGCATCGGGGAATTTTTCTGGCCCTGTTTGGTTCATACAGCTAT